GTGGTAAGGCCCGCCTGCCTTGTCACCTAAAGAGCAGTGTCAGCAGTTAAGCACTGTGGCAGCCAGTGCACCCTCCCTATTGTTTCCAGTCTTTTCGGCGTGGGAGATGTCTAGGCATCTCTCACCTTCTTGTTCCCCTGCCGACTCACCTGCTGGTCCAAGAGCCCTTCCGTCCACCTGGCACTTTAGGGCCTGTCCTTAGCCAAGGCACGGATGCCCCTTGCTGAGGACCTGGGAGGACTCCTCTCCATGGGGAGCCCCAATCAGATGCGTCTTGGCTGCAAGGCCCAGGCAGCTGGCCAAGAAAGGCCGGAAATGCTCCAAATACTCTCCTTCCTCCAATAGCTAAGGGGAGGGCGGCCCCTCCGAGAGGCCATTTTATAGTGATAGCCAGACTAAAGCCTTTGCTGTGGGGGATGGGAGATGGTGGAGAAGGAAGTACTTCTGAGGGCTGAACCAAGAAAGCATCCTTCTACGTGAATGGGCTTGTTGAAACCCGACAGCCATAGAGCTTACCTTCTGCTGAATCCCAGGCGGATGTGTGGAGTTCCTTTGCTGGGACACGAAGCTGTGTTCTTGGCAACAGTGATATCTGAACCTGACCTTCAGAAGAAGGTTAAAAATAGTGTTGTCCTGGCAAAGCCAGTCTTCATCTGTATGCGTGTGTGTGTGCGCGCGCTCGCGCACATATGTGCATGTGTACACACATTCATGTGCGTGCACAAGCTTCTTAAGGGGCAGAGGCAAACGGTGTCCCCACTGGTGCTTCTTGGTGGGGGGTGGCGGGGCAAGGGGAGAGGGCACTGTTTATCGCAAATGGAATGGCCTCATTTGCTTCCCTGGTATTTGCAGAATACCAGCTGGGGAGTTTGCAACAGGAAAACAACTTTTGTAGTAAATTTGGGAGAGGGTATAGGGGTGGTTTTGACTTTTTGAAACCTGCTCATGATCAGAGTCCCAGGCACCTTTCTCATCTTCTGTGTTTGAGCTTCAACTACATGCTGGGTACAGGAGGGCCCCTGATCTCCTGCTCCTTGCTTCCTGGAACGAGGCCCACAGGGTTGCCAGGCAGTGGTCATCTCCCCTTAGATAGTTCATTAAAGCCAGCACAGCATTTGGCTTTAGTCTGCCCAGCACGTTAGTGTGCAACAGTAAGTTTTGTTTACCCTCTGAGTTAGGAGAGCGAGCGGTCTTGCTGGTATTCCCAATTAATGGATGAGGAAACTAAGGCTCTAAGAGGCTGTGTGCCGAGTCAGTAACTGTCAGGGCCTGGACCTCGGCCCAGGTGACCCGTGGAGTGGGGGAGGGGCGATGCCTCCCACAGGCCCCCTTCTCTGCACACCCTGCCTCGGGAGGAAGCCTCAAGGCAGTGAGCTAGAGGGGTGGCCTGGCTCCCCTGTTCTCGGCTCCCAGTGCACTTTCTCCTTAAGCCAGAGCACCCCTTATTAGGTGTGCGCTGCTCCTCTCTGACATCCAGCCCCAAACCAGATGTTTGGAGCAGGAAGAGCAGATGCACATCAGCTGCTGAGCAGGAGAGGAGGGCTGAGTGTCCACAAAGCAGGCAGCAGGAGGATGATAGAGGAGGAAGAGCAGTTGACTCTGGGGCTGCATGGCACCCACTGGAATCCTGCCCTCCCTCACTTGGGAACTGTGCAGTGAAATCCTCACCCGCCTGCAAATCCTCTTGTGCCGGTGTTCCTCTCCTGGGGAGGCAGGGCCGGTGCCCCTTCCCATCACACTCAGAGGGGTGGGGGGTGACCTGCACCTGGCTGTCAGGGACACAATGCCGAGCGCTGGCTGAAAGGAGTCTTTTGAAAGGCTTTGACACAAGTCTCAGATCCCATCCCACTCTGCTGTGTGTTTCCCCTCACCCTTAAACCCACTCTACAAAGTGGATCTTGAACCGAGGCTCCGGGCTTCAGCTCCTCCCCCTCCCCTCCTCCATTGTCCTCTTGGTCTCCCAGAGGTGTGTGCTGGCCAGAGCAGGTGCGGGGCAGGGCTGGGGGGGTGGGGAGCCAGCCCCGAGTGCAGTCCCGTCGCCTTGTACTGTTCTACCCTCGCACCTTTCTGGACTGCCCGAGAGGGCAGCACAGAATGGGGGCTGGACCCGAGCTGATTCTTCACCAGCCCAGCCTAGAGAGGAAATGCTCTGAGGGAACTTGAGAGGCCCCGCCATCTCCCAGTTGTTGCAGGAGTAAAGGTACCCGGTGCCTGAGCTGTACTTGTGAAGGGCCCTGGCTCTGGGTTCAGGGAGATCTGGGCTCAAATCCTGGCTCTGCTGTCCTGCTACCCGTGTAGCCTCGAGCAGGTTACTTACCCTTCTGTGCTTCAGTTTCCCATCTGTAAAATGGGGGGTTGGTGCCTGCACATGGGTTTGTAGTGAGGATTAAACGAAGTAATGATGTCAGGTATTTTAACACAGGCTTGGCCCATTATCAGTGCTCAGTTAACAAGCCCAAGGCCCAGAAAGACCAAGTGGCCTTGCCTCAGGTGCTCCACTCCTCAGAGCCCACCTCCCTCTCATCACAGAGAGGAGCCCTTTCTAACCCTTCTAGGCAGTTGCAAATCTATGAAGGCTTCCATAGGCCCCCGCTCTGTGGAAGTGACAGTTACCAAGCACCTGCTGCTCAGAAGACCAGAAGCCGATGAATGTCCCCGGCTGAGGCCGCTGCAGGCTCTGTCAGGAGGGCGCCGTGTTGGGGGGGAGGCCAGAGAGGCCCTGATGGGTTCTCAGTGGCAGTGTTTGTAAAAGGTAAGGAGGACGGGCAGCCCAGAGAAGGGCTGAGGGCAGCAGGCTCCATCGGCAGGGTCAGTGAGGGACGTCGGGTACCGACCCTGCCGTTGCGGCTCTGGAGCGCCCTCCCCAGCGCCTGCCCCCGAGGTTAAGGCATTCTTGGTCTCTGAGGCCCAGGGGCTGCCTGGTCACATTGTGTTTTTGAGAAGACCCTCCTCCCCTGCAGAGTCCAAAGCACGCTGAGGAGCCCGCGCCCCCTCCCCACCGAGCGCCCCGTCTGCGGCTGAAGTGGGGCCTCCCGCGGTGGGCACTGGCGGGGCCTCTCCGTGGCCCCAGGCAGCTGCCCCTTAACCCCCCTGCCTCTCAGGATTACTCAGCCTTCACAGCGTCTGTCACTAAGATGCTGAGTGCGTCTTGATGGCCTCTCTTCAGGAAAGGCTTGGGCTGTGTGGCCTTTTAAGAAAGGCTTGGTGCCTGGGTTAAGCCTCTGATTGTGGTTCTGCGTGAAGAAACCATAAACCAAAGGAAAGGCGATGGTTCAGCTTTGGTCTTGGAGCTTTGTGTCAGCTTCTGCTTAAGTCCCTGAGCTTGGAATTGAATATGGGCCATACAGGCAGGTGGAGAAGCTGTCCTTTCCCTCCAATTTCCGCATAGATTATTCAGAGTAGGAAAAAGTCCAAGGAACCGCTCATCTTGCTGTCTCTAAGTGTGGGGCTCTGCTCTCAAATTTGTCTCCTTGATGCGGAGGCCTGGGGCAGGGTCTACAATGCAACTTCCTCCTTCAGGACAAACTCCCCAGTCCCTGGAAATCTTGGTTCTACCACCAGGGCCAAGAGCTCCAGAGTGGTATCTAGGTTTTTAGGTTAATTCCTGGAGAAGCCTGATCATTTTCTAAAAGATTTCTGACGGTCATACCAGTGTCGAGGAATCTGGCCTGACCCTAGGAGTGGGGGGAGAGAGCTCTGGACCGAACCGGCCCGGGGTGCCTGGCCTGCACCTGGAGTCAGAGCTGAGTCGGTTGTCCTGGGGCCGTGCTGACTGCCACTTGACGGATGGTCACTGGCCATTTCCCTCACCCTCAGCCAAGGGGAATCCAGTTTGGTTTTCTCTCCTCTCCAGGGGCTCAGGCAGCCAGCAGCTGGGTGTTAAACGGCCCTCCCATCACCTCTTCCACGGGGGCTGCCTCCAAGCGCAGATGCAGCGCATGCTCTGAGGACTGAGCCGAGGGAGCTCAGCCCTGCTCCTGAGGGCCCACCGCGTTGCCTCCCTCTTCCCTTCTCAAACCCAGCGACACAGGGAAGGTTGTCCTCCGCGGTACTTTGTTTGTCTTACTCCGCCCCGCAAAGACAGAAGCACTTCCGGTGCAGATTTTCCCGCACAGTAGTTCGCCCTGTGCTCTAAGTTGAGCGGGCGGATTTCATCCTTAGGCCCTGTGCCCGCCCTAGCCGGGGCAGAATGAGGACCATCTGGCGGCGGTTGTGCAGCGCCACCTCCTGGCTGCGGTACCCATCCTGTCTTCCTAGTCTTGCTCAACAGATGCCAGAACATCTCATCTGAAATAAAAGGAACTTGGAAAAGTTATTCCAAAGTCCATTTCTGGTTGATCCTGTAATGCCCATAGCTTTTTGTATCAGCTTGACCTTTCAGGGGCTGCCTTGCTGAGCCTCCCGTTGCAATGGCTTTGTATCTCCAAAGCCCGAATTGTCAAGGCAGGACTTAGCAGCTGTAGCCTAGAAGCAGGGACATCAGCCTAGAACCCAGCGCTGGATGTGTGTGTCCCAAGAGGGTAACCTGCCTGTGGTCTTCGAGGGGAGGGAGTGTTAAGGAAAGTAGCTGGACTGTGGAAAGGAGACAAGGGTGTGGACCAGGCTTGTCGCTTCTTGTTGGGGCCACAGCTGTTCTGTTTCATAGTCTGTTGTAGTCTGGGCCCAGTGCTGCCACTGACCTGGAGTCGAAGGAAGCTGTTGCAGATGAGGACCGCCCTAACATGAGGGGTGTTGCTTACTCCCTTCTCCAGGACGGGTAGTCTTCTGGGAACTGGAGTTGGGGAGGATTTTTGTTTCTGTGAATTGATTTTGAGGGTTCCCTCAGTGTGCTGCTTACCAGAGTGGATTCTATACCTCTCCCCATATTTCAGTGCCCTTCCCTGCCACGGAATGCAGAGCAAATTCCCTGAGGCTTGTTTCCCAAGCCAGGGACTGGGGGTTCCTGCTGTTTCTGCTTTACAGAGAAGCTGTTGGAATAAACATGTACATTTCACTCTTGACTATATTTAGTGGTTTGCCAAGCACGTGCCACGTGCCCCGGCAGAGCTGACAGACCAGAGGGGATATGGTATGGGGGTACATGGGACCAGTACCCTGTGGCTTATGCCTCTGTCTTTCCCTCCACTCTAGGCCTGGTCTCCAGGTCTTCTCCTAAGAAACCTCGTGGACGTAACATCTTCAAGGCCCTTTTCTGCTGTTTTCGTGCCCAGCATGTTGGCCAGTCAAGCTCCTCCACTGAGCTTGCCACATACAAGGAGGAAGCCAACACCATTGCTAAGGTAGCTGGATCACAGTGGTGTGATGCCAGCAAGGACGGGACTGCTGTGGGGTGGGGGGGTGGGGGGGTCCCTGCCATGGCAAGTGGGCAAGGCAGCCTTGCCTGAGTCAGATCTTTGGCCCAGAGGAGGCCCTTTTTCCTTCCCGTAGTGGTCCATCCTCTTCCTGTTGATTCGCACTTGTGGTGTGGGCCATCGGATGTCCCTGTGGTTTCTGCGGGTCCCTGCAGTCCAGATCCTTCCAGCTTCCAGGAATGGTGCAGGCACTTTTGTATATTATCTCCTGAGACCCACAGCAGCCCTGCAGGGAGAGTCAGAGGATTCCTGCTCACAGACCTGGAAACGGACTCAGAGGGTTTATGCAGCCTCTGAAGGGCTAATGGGTAATAAATGAGTGTCAGGGTTTGAACTCAGATCTCTCTGGCTATAAGTCCTGTGACTTGTTTTTTCACTACGCAAAGATACCTTCCAAGTTACTCAACTTTCAGGGAACCAAGGAGTTGAAATTCCGTCACACTCGATAACCCTTTCCAGCAGTCTCACCTGTACCTGTGAGGGACATTTGAAAATGTGTGGGTATTTTTGATTCTCATAAAGGCCAGAAGATATGTCTGGCATTTCAAAGGTGGGGACAGAAATCATTCTGCCCCCAGTGCCATTGGTACTTCTTTCCAAAACACTGAGGTCTAGCTGTCCTTTCTCTGTTTCAAAACCAAGCTAAAGACATATACATTGATGAAAGTCACTTCCTTATTCAGTAGGGAAAAATGGTTAAACAAAGTACAACAGTACAGTACTACTAAACGAGTAATTTTACAGAGTTCACAGTAATGTGGAAAAGTATTGAATTGTAACATTGAGTCAAAAAGCAGAATGCAAAATTATATATCACGAGGAAAAAAAGACTACCAGAATAAGCCTGAAGGAAAGGCAGTAAAATGCCAGCATTAAGTTTTTCTAAGTGCCAAGAGTTTAATTTTTCTTCAGGGTTTCCATTAAGATCACTTACTACTTTTTACAACCATAACATTTTTATTATTAGCAAAAGACGAGAAAAGCCTTTCTCTGCACTCCACCTCCCCTCAGACTCCGGGACCCGCAGTGTGGGTTCGGGTTGGCTTACTTAGGTTTTGTAGGGGCCCCACACCCACCCTTCCCCCAGAAGACCCCCCAAAGTAGGACATAGAAAACACACGTTCTCAAAGAGAAGCCTGAGGACTAAGCAAGAGGCTACACCCCTGAGATGAAGAGTTGTGATTTTGACTCTGCCTCTCCCTCCGGCGCCTGCATCAGCTGCCCAAGTTCCCTGTTCCTCAGAGGAACTAGGCGGTGGCAGCTGAGAACAGGGGCACTGCCTTCTCCATCCTCCATCAGGCCTCGTGTGGAAAAGAGGCTCTGGTCTTTCCCCTTTCATACCCAGCTCTTAAGGAAAGTCACTTTTGTCATGTCAGGACCTTCCCAGGGGCTGGGGTTTTGGGGAGAAAATTCCCCTCCAGACCTGAGGCCAACGCAGTGGGCTTTAGATGGACGGGGAAGGTGCTGGAGGGCCGGTGCTGACCCCCCTTCTCTCCCACAGTCGGATCTGCTCCAGTGTCTCCAGTACCAGTTTTACCAGGTATGTGAATCTGACAGGGTATGTGCTCAGAAGCCCCCAAATCCTGTGGTCCCTGCTAACCCCGCTAGTGATGCCCTCATTCCTCGGTGCCTGTTTGGCTGCCTCCCAGCCCTGGGAAGCTATTTGTCCAAGATACTTGCTGAGGGCCCGCTGCGTGCAAGGCGTTAGATTGTGGGGGGACAGCTGGTCTCTACCCCAGGACAGTCGCGGCTTCCATCCCCCATCTCCAGATCACTTCACAGTCCCCGAGGGAGGCGGGAGCATGGGGCCGGCTCGGTCTCTTCCCTCTCTACTCTTGGCATTTGAGTGGCCCCTCTCCTGGGCTGAAGTGGGGGTCTTCCATCTCCTTGGTGAGCCCAGCTCTTCCCAGAGTTCTGCTGAGGGAAATAATTAGTCTTTCTTGGTGGCAGATCTCAGTAGCCTGGCTCTGGTTTTAGATCCCAGGGACCTGTCTGCTTCCAGAGGTGACAGAGGAAGATCAAGGAAGAATCTGTGTGGTCATTGACTTGGATGAAACCCTTGTGCACAGCTCCTTTAAGGTAACTCCACATCTGGAACACTGCCTACACCCATCTTGGGCTGAACTGTGAGCCCGACTCCAGGTGCCGTGAGGCAGCCTGAAGCTGATGGAAGAGTGGTCCGAAGGGGGAGAGCCAGACCCTGGCATCTGGCCACACTGGCATCACAGATACCTGGAGGCCCCACCAGGCAGTGTTGAGTGGGAGCCCCTACTCTCTCTGGTCTCTGCCATTAGGCTGCAGCTGACCCTGTCACGCAGCACAGGAGCCACCAGGCTCTGTGCAGGGCAGGCCTCAAAGAGAGGTTAAGTCAGCCTTGGACCTTGCACTTTTATCAGGATGTTTGTTAACTCAGGAAGGCCTGGAAACTCTCAGCTCAGGTAGAATTTGTGGGTGTGGGAAGTAGGGAAAAACCACAAGGGGTATCGCACCCTGTCCTGGGGTGAGGACCACTTAGTGAGGCGCAGGAGCTTCCTGGAGCCTCTGAGATCTGTCCCTCCCTGCCTTTCCCAGGGGACGGGGCAGTGGCTGTGACAGGGACTAGGGTGTGGCCAGGCTTCTTGTCCCTTCCCACATGCTGACTGACTCCTCTGCCTTCCAGCCGATCAACAACGCTGACTTCATAGTGCCTGTGGAGATCGAGGGGACCACGCACCAGGTGAGCCCCCTGGCCGACGCGCCCAGCCCGGTGGCCCGGGGTCCTCTGCCCCTTGGGCTTGTGTTCCATTGGTTGATTATTTCCTGCAACTTCAGCCTCTCCATTTTTATTGGTACTTTTCGCACTGGAGGCATTCTCATCTTAAAAAATTCAGCCTCTTATCCCTCGCTAGCTGCCACCTTCTTTCTCTTTGCAGCCAAGCTGTTTAAAATTAAATATTACTTAAAAATATCAATAGTTATCGTTCAGTTACCTCTCCTGCCCTGTATGTGGCCAGCACTGTTACATGATGTATTACGTTTTCTCTAATCCTAAAAAGTCGGTATCTCTGCCTGCTACAGGCAAGGAGGCCGGTGCTAGCGGTCTCCTCTCCTCCCCTGTTCACCCCTGCCATCGAGCTGGTGGATTTGTTCCTCTCAAGCTCAGACATCTCCTTCTCTGTAAACCTTTCTCCAGTTCCCCTGCCTTGGGGTCCCTACATTGGATTTTGCCCTAGTAAATGGTCAGTTCACATCTATCAGAGAGCACTTGAATCTAAGTAAGAACAGGCATAACCTGCTTGGTCCAGGGTTAAGGACCCTGTGGTGTTGGTGGTGAAAAACCATTTATGCTTGCTCAGAAGGCCTGCCAGCTGGCCTGAGAGTCAGGGACCATCAGGAACAATGCCCTGGTAACCCCAATGCTTATTTTCTCGGCCTGGTCAAATAGAAGGGTTACTTGTAGGGAAATGGGGTTTGAGGTGTCCATGGGTGGTCATCACTGTCCTGTGTCCATTAGAAGCTTTTTTGCATCCCTCCACCCTCCTCCCAGCTCAGGTGCTCCACCATGCGCAGCGCCGGACTCTGCCCAGCAGCCCTTACAGTCTAGGTGAGGGTGTAGAGATGTACAAATCCCACAGGGAAAAGACAAAGGCATATCTTCAACCAGGCAGATACACACTGTGAGCTCCTGTTAACAAGGGAGGTGTGAGTGATGGAAAAGGGATGAGATTAAAATAGGGGTGGGGGGCCGTCTACCTGCTGAAGGTGGGTTTTCAGCAGTGAGTGGTGGGAGGGTGCCAAGCTTGATGAGAACAGCCAGGCAGAGGGAAGGACTTGTTGAAGGTTGAAGAAATGGCAAGCGAAAGGAGGCCCAGTTGTGGTACCTGGAGCAGAGGGTTCCTGCCGCAGAGCTGGGGGTTCCGGCGGGGCCAGTCCGGGCCACCTCCAGGAGGGAGAGTCACGGCGGGCACGTGCTCTCCGGGCAAGGAGTGGCGGGGGGGAAGAGGAACTTTGCGGGGATGGTTCTGGCGGCTGTTGTGTAGGCTGGAAGAGAGGGAAACGTGGATGGAGGCAGGGAAGCGATAGACAGCAGACCTGTGAGGGACAGGCAGCCAGGGAACCTTTTAGGCCAAAATGTACAAGATTATGAAAGGTGGACTCGAGCGTTAAGGGTGGCTGCTGGCAGGAGCAAGCACAGAATAGGTGGGGGTCACCAGAGCAAGATACTGCAGGGTGTCTGATCTGTGGTCACTGAGGAAAAAGTCACTTCCCTTGGTGCATTTCAGAGAAGCTCTGTGAGGACGTGAGGTTTTGGGAAGTATCTGCAACTTTGCCTGATGGGGACCTGGACTGACTGTCCTGCCAGAGCCAAGGACAGGAAACTCCCACAGAGGCTGTGGCTGGATTCAAGTAATCCAGGATAGGCTGTGTCCATCTGTGAGGCCTATTCTTGATTACTTGTTTCTGGAGGCAGCTGATGGTCCGCCGCCTGAAGCAGAGATGGCTCCTGGGACATAGGCGTTTGCGTTTCCTCCTGCGCTGGGTCGGGGTTGGGCCACCGAGCCAGCAGAGGCCTGGTGAGGAGGCGACGCCCACGCCCCAGTCTTGGGCGGAAGGCTTCCAGCCAGGTGGCCCCAGAGGCTGGGCTGGGGGGTCTGGACAGAGTAAGGTTAAACCACCTGTTGCTCTTGGTGGTGACAGTGACCAAAGCTGTGGCGCTTCCCCCTCCCAGGGATGAGCAAGCCTCTCTGCTTTTCCTCAGGTGTACGTGCTCAAGAGGCCTTATGTGGATGAGTTCCTGAGACGAATGGGGGAACTCTTTGAATGCGTTCTCTTCACTGCCAGCCTGGCCAAGGTACCTGGGGGCAGGAGGGGAGTAAAGAACCGGGAGCAGGTGTGGCAGCTCCATGCACGGTCCAGCAGCTCCTTGCTGGTCCACAGGATGCCACGGGGAAACCAGGGCTGCACCCAAACAAAAAGCATCTTCTCTTCTGCCAGTACGCCGACCCTGTGACAGATCTGCTGGACAGGTGCGGGGTATTCCGGGCCCGCCTGTTCCGTGAGTCCTGTGTGTTCCACCAAGGGTGTTACGTCAAGGACCTCAGCCGCCTAGGAAGGGACCTGAGGAAAACCCTCATTCTGGACAACTCACCTGCTTCTTACATCTTCCACCCAGAGAATGCTGTGAGTGTTGCAGACACGCCCACCCTGCAGGGGGTGGGAGAGCCCCTGCCCTAGGAGGGTGGGGGGTGGGGGAACCGTGGGCTTGATGGAGGAGCGCACCGCCCCGGGGGGCGCAGCTGGCCGCCAGGGGCTTGGGGCAGGGGCGGGAAGGATTGGCCGCCAGGAGACGCAGGCCGCCTTTCACCTGCCCCAGGTGCCCGTGCAGTCTTGGTTTGATGACATGGCGGACACTGAGTTGCTGAACCTGATCCCCATCTTTGAGGAGCTGAGCGGAGCAGAGGATGTCTACACCAGCCTTGGGCAGCTGCGGGCCCCTTAGCCTTCCCTGCTGCCAAGCAACGGCCATCCCAGTAGGGGACTTTCCTACACTGTGCCTTTATGATCGGCCTGACAGAGCGGAAGCTGGAGCATCTCACCAAATGAGGCCTGGAAACAGAAGTGATTGGAAAGAGCTTTAGGACAGGTTAGATGCCAAGTGGGCAGATAATCAGACCAGCATTACCCAGAGCTGCCGGCTCCCCGAGTTGGGTTTCTGAAATATAAGAGTGAGAGAGAGACAGAGAGAGAGAGACAGACAGAGAGAGAGTGTGTTTGTGTGTGTGTGTGTGTGTCTGGCCTTGAACTGTGGCCCTGGGCTATAAGTGTTTCAGGTTGGGGGAGAAGCTGAGTGATCAAGACTCCCCTAGTCAATCTGTCTCCTCTCTGGTCACCCTGACCCACTGAGCTCTGTGGGGATGAAGACTATTGAAGGCTTCGTTGCCAAACCCACGACCTTTCCTCAGCGTTATAAGGCTTACGCCAAGGAGAAAGGAAGGGTCAGAGGCTGCCCCGGGTGCCCACTACACACCTTCCTGAAACCTTTCTCCAGCCAGCTGCTGCAGACAAAGAGGATGTTTCTGGGAAGATGAAAGCTTGTTTCCAGCCCACAGGGCCGTCAGGTCCTGTGGCCTGAGGGCTTCGCTCGCCTCTGGCCGAGCGCCTGGCACAGGCCCCTTCCGTGTCTCCCCAGGGCTTGGGTGCCGGGCCTGCCTTCCTCAGCACCTGGCCATAGTCTTGAACCTGTGGGGAAGGAGGTCTTCACCCTGCCCTGGAAGAGGACAGATAACTGATTTCCGTTCTTTTGACTCTTTTAAAAGTTCTTTCTAGACATGGAGTGTTGGGCCTGTTTTGTTTCTGACAGAGCTTCAGTCCTGGGCCCGAGATGAATGTGGGAGGCCCTGGGGGTGCAGGGACGCAGAAAATCCCCAAAGCATGAATGTCTGTGTCCCCTCGGCTTACAGAGCAACTGAGCTCGGGACTGCGTCCCTAAGTCTGCTCTTCAGGGATTCTCTGCTGGTGCTGGTGCGAGGACTTTGCTCTGTGTCCCACCTTCCTGTTTCTCGGACAGGGCTCTTTCTCTTGTGTCTTCCCGCAGGGCCTGGCCTGTGCCGATCACACTCCTCTTCACCCTTCCTGGCTGTGGCTCTTGCGCTCCGGGGCCTCAGGCGCTCCTGCATTTCCTGCCGAGGGGATGGGTGTTCTCACCGTTTAGTTTGCCAGCCTAACGTGCGTGCCTCTTGCCAGTGGTAACAGGTGTGAGTGAGCCCTTCACACACCTGCGCTTTGCGTGTCTCTTTGCTTTCAAAGTTTCTTAATAGCGAATGCTTTAAAAAATAGTCAAAATGGATGTTTCCCCAGGATGGAAAACCGAGGGGAAGCGCTGCTGTAATTGGGAGCACAAGGGGCCCCCAAGAAGGGAGCCCCACCTCAGCATCACTGCCTTAACCGTGGCCTCCCCAGGGCTGGGGGGGTTGTCTCCTCCCCGCCTTCCCTCTGGGCAGGAGGGAGTTCCTGTCCCCGTCTCTGCTTTCCCTGGAGGCAGGTGTCACAGAGCATTTGTAAATCGCTTCAGGTGCAAGAACACTGCCCACTCAGGACTCATCCCCGTTACCCTTTTCCATTTCCACACACGGGGCCAGTCTGAGGAACTCGCCGGCTTCATGAAAACCAGGTGTTGGACCGGCAGCAGGTTCTGACTGGCTAGCCTCTCTCTCTAGCTTTGTGGTGTCACCTCCCCACCTTGTCCCAAGGTTGTGAGGCCTTGTCTTTCCCTTTGGTGTCACATGAGCAGAGCAGGGTCCCCAAAGTCCGTGCGGTTGTCTTCTAGCATCATTTCCTGGTGCCTGTGGGATTCTGCTGCTGCGGGCGGAGGAAGAGGGCCCCAGGCCTGGCCAGGAGCGACGTCCCTGGGGGAAAACGGGAGCTTCGGATTCTAAGGCCCTGGCCTAGGCCTCTGTCCTAATGTCGCGGGAGGGTCCTCTCTCCCAAGCCCCATCCTAAGGGGATAGCTCTTGGGCCAAATCTTTGCCATGGGGTCCAGCCAAGCTTTTCTGACTGAATAAGCAATAAGAGGCTCTAAGCTTGCCCAGTTCCTAGGAGCCTTTCTGCCCTCCTTTGGTCTCCACGTTTCTGGATGAAGGAAGAGCCTGTGCCTCCCGCTTCCCTAGCAGGCTTGTCCACATGTTCTGAGTGACTCGTAGCCAGAGCCCAGGTTAGCTTGGTGGGTGTCCCCGCTGCTTCTGCATGAAGCCCCAGCTCTACAGGCGTCGTTCCTGTCAGAACCTGCCCTGCCCACCTGCAGTTCCTCACCAGAAATGCCACATTCTCGTTTACCCCCTCCTTCCTCCCCTGGAGAAGCAGCTCGGCCAAATAAGTCTAAACAGGGTCCATCTGTGTGGACCAGAGCCAGCCTGAAGTCATTATTTGCTTTCTGGTTTTCCAGTTTCACAGTGTGTTAGGGGCAAGTGATGACTGCAAAACTTGCTCCGTAGAGGAATCAGCCCAGACTCATTTGGAGGAGGGCAAGACTGGGAGGGAGCTAGTGCACCCCAGGATCTGTTCCTGGGGTTCCCACCAACCCTTCCTGTTTGAGGCTGGGCTTCAGGAAGTAATAAGCCAGCGCACCCGGTCAACCCCAGTTCAAGCCATGCCGGGAATCTGCCCATCTGCCAGGTTCAGTTCTTTAAGGTGCCTCTTCAGGGACACAGTGTGTCTCTCTGATTGGGCTTCGAAATCAAAAGCCTGATGTTCGTGTCCCTCTCATAGGGGGAGCTTTGGACACAGGACCAGTTTGGAAAGGGTCAGGTAAGAGTTTCTACTCTGCACATTGTAGAGGGGACACTCTGTAGGCCCATGGGTCCCTTACTATAGAGGTTGAATAAATTTGCTTTCAGTTAACCTGGGACCTTGTCTTTAATTCCCTCCTGCCTCCCAAAGCTTTTGACCATTTTGTAAGTGTATAAATTCACCTCTGAACAGCAGCCCAGAAGCTTCTCTGTGCTGAAAGCATGGGAAGTCTAAAGGCAGCCATTCCTTAGGAGATGGATCCTGTTCTGTCTTGCTGCCCCTGCCCTGCTCCCGAGGCCTCGTTCAGGAAGGCAGCCCCCCCGTCAGGCTGTCCCACATCCCGTGTCCCAGCCAGGTCAAGTGTCCGAGGAAGGTCAGCCTGTTTTCCCTTCAGGTCTTCAGGTCTTCAGCTTACCACTGTTGTCCCTCAGTCGCCTTTTTTGTAAAATGGAGTTTTATTTTTGTCCTTTTTATTTGTTCAATGCCAGTAAATACTCACATTCAAGCAGGGGAGGGGAGGTGGAGGTCTGCCCCGCTGCCCGTTCCTTTAATGCTGTTGGGCCCGCCCCTGGGGCAGACCCTCCTCTCAGGTGTGAGCTTCTGTGCTGGTCCTTATCTCCAGTTTGACACGTTTCCATGTCGTGCCACTTAATCCTCTTCAAGATGCCGTTTGGAGGGGTGGGGGAGATCTGCTTCCCACTGGGCTGGGCGTGGGGTTCTGACTACCTTGCTTACAGATTCATGGTTTGATAAATCTGTTGTATTCAAAAACTTGAAATGTAGGACGCCATTAAGTGTCTGTTTATATTTTTGGAATATTTGTATTACTTACAATTAATTAATAAAAGTGGGTTTAAAAAACCCATCTGTGAATGGGAGCTGACCCTTCCGTTGTTCATTCGGGCACTACCCCCTCCTTCCCTCAAAACTCCTGTCAAGACGAAGCTGGAGCGCCCGGGCTGGCGCACTCAGCACTGGGGTTTTGCTCAAGGTAACAGAAGTCGGGCTACGTTAGCTCTTCCCCGGCCCCCCTGTGGAATCAAGGCCACTGTCATCCAGGTGCTTAATAAGCATATGCTTGGTGTCCTGTTGACTTCTGGGGGCGAACCAGAAGCCCCAAGGGACTTGGAGGCTTCATTCCCCTGTGCCCCTTACTGACTTTCCCAAACCAGGACCCTTGAAACACAGAGCCCAGCATGGTTCTTGGCACATAGTAGGCACTCAGGTACTGATTGGACTGACCTCTGACTCCAAGAGAGACCCAAAGGGGCAAAACTTCCCCTCTGAGAAATGCCCAGAAGCTTCTCAGGGAGGCCCTCGCCAGCCTGGACATGGCAGGAGCTGAGCGGGCAGCCCCAGCCCCTGCCTCCAGTCGTCAGTGTAATGCATCCATATCTACAATATGGCAAATTTCATATCCTCCCTCTGTCCTGCATTATTGATGGGCTGTGCACTTTAAAAAAATCAATTAGATCAGGGCGTGGAGCCGGAGTTAAAAGAACAGAAGCCTTTAAAAGTCTGCTCTTACTGTTTCTGCTGTTTTGAATAGGAACAGATAAAGCTTTCCCTCTGCTTTGAGTAAGTCAGGCCCAGGGCTCGGTTGGCCGTGATTGGCCAGGACTCAGAAAATGCGGTTACGATGCAAATCCAAGCAAATATAGCCTGGTGTCTGTGCGCCATTACTAAGCTAAGGCAGCTGGGCCTGGAGCCGCCCACTTTGGGGTGGCTCCTGTCACCACTGCTGCTTACCTGCCAGAGAACGGGGACTACTGGTGAGAGAGAAGGCAAGGTAAGGGCTTTTGGCTTACGGGTTCACGTCGGTAGAGCAAGTTTACTGAATGAGAAAGAAGAGGAGGAGGAGGTTGAAATCTCCTTGACTTTGTCTTCTTGGGTGAGGCTTTTAAAGGGTTAAACCAGGAGTTTGTGACCAGTTTTGCAGACTTCCTGCTGAGAAGCTGAGGTGTCTTTCAGAGACCACTAAACATAAGGCACATTTTCAAAAGCTGGGGAAGGTGGGGAAGACTCCATTCAGCCATCTCAGAAAGACGGAATGGGGCAAGGCAGAAGTTAAAAGCAGCTTCCTCTGCTTAGGGTCCACTTACAGGACTGTCAGTAGGAATGAAAGGCCACTGGACCCCACCCAGGGGCTCGTGCGGTGGTCCCAGGGTGCTGAGTTAAGCTAGGACTTGCGGACTAGGGAGAGATCGAGCTTGGGGGGCTTTGCCGTCACAGATGGAGCCGCATTTTCTGGGTGTTCCAGTGTGGCAGTAAGTCCCTTCTTTGAGCATGTCCTCTCCTGCATTTTGGGGGCCCTGGCCCAAAGAGCTCGACTGCTGCGTCCCTGCTGGGAAACGGGACTGCTTCTGGCCCCTGGACTCACAGTCCTAGTCAGTGCCTTTGGTCTGGCCTTTACCAGGCTGACACTTCTCTATCTCCAAGGAATGAATTCACTGCCCCTTGGCCCCTTCCCTTACCTGGGTCACAGCATTTACCTTTAATGACTGAAATCTAGGGTCTGAAGAAAACCTGAACAAATATTTCCCGGCAATTCTGAGCAGCATAGGGCGGGGCAGGGCCAGTTATCAAATTAAGTCCTCAAATACTGGCTGTTCCGCGTCACTGCTCGGCTTTAGGCCTGCTATAGCAGCGAGTAGACAAAGGGAGGTTTTTGTTTGTCTTTGGTTGTTTTGCCAATGTCCGTACTAGGTAATGGCACATGTTCTCCAACCCTGGGCTCCCCCACCAAGGCTCAGGGAAAGAATGGCCAGGCGTGCCCCTCTTAACAAGCTCAGCGTGCCTCCAAACGGCAAACCTCAGCTAGTCCTTTCTGAGTGTTTTCTCATCCTGTGTAAATCCATCAAATGAATCCTTTTTCCTTTGCCTCTCGGGAGCACTCACAGTACACACTGATGTGTATTAGCATCGGACTGCAAGCCCCTTGAGAACAAGGACCAGGCCAGCATTTTCATTGTCTACAGCCCGTGTGACCACAGATGCGTGTAGGTGCTTGACGCACGTTGACTAGAGACCGCACACAGCCCGCAGGGCTTCCCTTCACCTCTCCCCGTCCCCGCAGCGCCACCGGCTCGGTCAGGGTGGGGTAGCGAGGAGGGCGTCTGCCCACAGGCCTCGCCTGCCTTCCCCTGCTGGCGCCCCGCGCTCTGGGTCCCAGGCCCAGCCTTGCCATTTTACTTTTTCTTCTGTGAGGCACAGGGAACGTGTTAGTCATATGACAAAAGCAAGATGGGTTGAGTTTTTGGATAGTTTACTTAAAAGAAAATAGTCTGGAAAGGAAAAGTCCAAAGAGTTGAGTGTGGAGAGGACCTGGCAAAGCAGGGGATCTGGGAAGAGTTAGAGGGAACGAGAACGAGAAGGAAACCCAGTTTGGAAATACATATTCTGACGTCAGCTTTTCAGTCCCGTGTGCCACTGACTAGATAAATTAGGAAGGGCTGCAGTACATCAAAGTGACTAAAAAAAAGAGCACAGGTTTTAGGATCAGATACGGATTTCGTCCTAGTGTGTGAACTTGAATAAATTATTTAACCTCTCTGAACCTCGATTTTCCCACAATATAAGGTGAAGAAAATATACTCAGCTTAGGAGAATTAAATGAGACGACATAAAGTGAATCAACACAGGGCTTAACATATTTGTCGTCCCTTCGGTAAATAACTGTGGCTTTTACTAGAGCTCCTAACTAGGGAAGGGGCAAGCGGGGAGCAGAACTTCCGGTGGGGATCCCCGAGCCAGCCAGGCTTGAGGCGTGATCTTGGACGAGTCATTTCCCTCAGCTGTGAGACAGTGCAGGGATGCCCCACAAGGACGTGGCCGGGTGGCTGATAAGCAGTTGGGAAGTGACTTAGGAGGAAAGCTGGCTGGACGCCTGCTGTCATCTCCCCGCTTGCTCTGTGAAGTTCCAGGCCCAGGAAGACAGCAGCATGTCTCTGAGCAGCGCCTTCAGGGCTGTGGGCAATGACCCCGGGATCATCACCTGGAGAATAGAGGTGAGCTGGGCTGGGTGGGGCATCTCTGGTCTGCTGGATGACGGCCCGCCCGCCCTCCTTAGTTTCCTGCCTGCGTTTTGGCAACATTGAGGCAGCACCAGGGTGCATGTTTTCCTATCCTTGACCCCTCCCAGGTGCTTGGAGCAGGTAGGTGACAGGTGGAGGAAATGTCCTTCACTTGCAGTAAATGCCCTGGAGAGATGGCAGGGGCCTGGCCCACCCAGGAGACCCGAGACCCCTGGCCGCTTCTGTTAGGGCAGTGGAACCTGTCTTCCACAGGGCACTCTGACTCCTGCAAAGTAGTAGGGAGGCCGAGGCCATTGTGGAGACCGGGCCTGCTCATCCCTCCCCGCTCTGGGGCTTAAGCCCCGCTGCCTGACCTCCAGCCCCAGCAGTCTAGCCTCCAGCAGTCTGTTGCTGGGAACCACCTGGCCTGGGCAGCTCCACTTGCCAGATGTGAGGACCCCCCAGCCCCACCCCGACCTCCCTGCTCTGAACCCATGAGCGGCTGCTGCACAGAACGCAGAGGTGACGCCCCACTTCACCACCCTCCGTCAGGAGTGGGAGCCTCAGCTCTCTAGCTGCTCAGAGCCAGTGAGAGCCCAGCTCACTCCCACTGTTTCAAGGCTCCCAGTTTATTTAAAAACTAATTGGCACTAATTTACACAAAGTGTGGGCTATTTAACGCTTCACATTTAACACACGTGTTTTACATAGAATACGTGCAAATATGACTGCAGGTTTGCTTACTTGGGGAAAGTCCACATTTGCTGCCAGGTGAATGGCCCTCCTGGGACAAGCCAGACATGCAGGTGACAGACACATCGGGGCTCCAACCTAGAGTCCAAATATGAGCCCCACGAGCTGACACTCACCCCCCAGAGCCCCTCAGAACCCTGCATCCTGTTCTCTCGGGCCTTGGCCAGCTCCGGGCGGTCGGGGTCAGGAGCAGCGCCTCCGGCGCCGGCGCAGCAGCTCAGAGGCAGCTTTCACTTGATGGCTGACACCAGCTCTCTTCTCTGCAGAGGACTGAGTGTGAGGTTCACAGCGTAGCAAGAGGAGACCAAGCAGGCAGTAGGAGGAGGGTGGGGGGAGGACAGGCACCCAGACTCAGAGGGAGTTCAGCAGAGGCCAGAGGGGTGGCCGGGCTAATCCTGTGGCTGACTGCCACACCCTGTGGGGACAGCTCCTGACCTCTCCCTGCAGCCTGTGCCAAATGATGGAGGGAAAGGGGAGGCGTGGGGGGCAAGGCGAGGGGGGAGGGAATGCAGCCGACACACACCCCTTGTCCTTCCAGAAAATGGAGCTGGCGCTGGTGCCCTGAGAGCCACGGCAGCTTCTACGGAGGGGGACTGTTACGTCATCCTCTCGGTGAGCGCCACCCTCCACCGTTTCCGGACGCCCCCTCCCTGG